GGTCGGGTCGGGCCAGGCGCCGCCAGGCTAGCCGGTGCGGGCCCGGCAGGGCGCGCCGCCACCCCTCGCCGGCTGCCGCGGAGCCGCGGGCTTGGTCGCGGGCGGCGGCGGTGGGCGCGGGCCTCACCTGGCGCACCCACACCACATTGTCAAAGACCAGAAGCGAGCTGGGGCCCTCGCCTTGCAGGAAGTCGGCGCCAGTGCCGGGGCCGTACCTGGGAAAGGTTCGCGGTTTTTGGGGTTGGGAGAGTGGGGCAGCGTTGAAGCCGAGAGGGACGTAGCGCATGCGAACGACGCACGTGCAGCCGCGCGCAAACCTCAGGGCATGTGCGGCACGGCATGCCCGCGCGCAGTCGCGATCGCGCCGATAGCGGCACGCACGCGCCGATGCGCGCGCCTCCGCGCGCACGCGCACGCATATGCCGCCTTCCCTTTAATCCTCTGAAAATGTGGAGTGACAGGCCTGCCCCCGCACCTGATGTTTGTCAGGCCCAGGTCTTTGAATGTGAGGCTGCGGCCCGCCTTGAGCAGCATGGTCCCATCGAGCATAGCCCAGTCGATCGACGCCGTCATCGCGGGGTCGGCGCTGCGCACGGTTATGTTGCGCGTCAGCGGCAGCAGGCCCTTGGCGCGGGCGGAGCCGTAGCCATGGAACAGGGCCGGGCGCATGATCAGGGTGCCGGGGCCGAGGAGCACCTGGGGCGGCGCGGCGCAGGTAGGGTGGGCGCAGGGGGTGGCGGTGGTGCGACCTGGGTGCTGCGGCCCCGCGCGAGCAGGGCGCAAGAGCGAGCGCAGAGCCTCGGGAATTGGGGGCCTGGAAGGCTGGCGGTGGCTTGCCGCGGGGGCTGCGCGCGCCGCGCGGCGGCGCCGCCCCTGCGGGGCTGGCTGTCGGCGGGGCTGGAGCTATGGGGCGTGCCGCACCTCTGTCACAGATGGGTCAGTGAACGCGCCCGCCAGGCCGGCGGCGGCGTCCGCGCCCCCGAGCATGACCGTTCCTTTGGGGACGCCGGGCTCGGCCACCACCGCCGGGTCGACGCCGACGCCGCTGTCCTGGAGCAGCGCGCGCGGCGCAGCAGCAGCCACGCTGCGCAGCGGCGCTGGCCGCGCGCCAGCCCGGCAGCTGGCCCCCGCCATCAAAAAGGCGAGGGCCAACATGGCTGCCTTTTCTGCTCGCATCTCGCCTCCCTAGGCGCTTCGAAGTGCGGCGAGGCGCATGACTGGCACCCCCCCGAAGATCTTCTGAATTCGAGATATTGGCTGGGCGCGAGCTCAGCGTCCGCCGGTCATCACAATTGTGCTTGATAAAATCCCACGAACGAGATGGAGAGCTGCTGCGCTGGACAACGGTCACCACCCGGCCAGGCTGGTCAGCGTCTCAACTCGCGCAGTGTCGACGCTGCGTTGGGCGGGCGCGCCGGTCAGAACGCCTCATGCAGCGCGTGAGGGCTTCCATAGCCTCGGAAAACGTTTGGTGCTTTGCCACTGGCGGGCTGAAACGTACCGTGCATGCAGTCCGTCTATCGGCCCGACCCTCAGGCGACTACACCTGCCCAAAGCGGGCACGTTCCCCTAAGCCGCCATAATCGGCGCGCCCTGCCGGCGGGGCTGTGCAGTCGACCCGGCAATACAGGGGAGGTGGCAGCAGACCGCTTACTTCTTGCAAAGCAGCTCGAGCGCAGCTCCCTGCAAGAAAGACCACGTGGCACTCTGGAGGGTGGCCCTGCGCAAACGCACACCATCACGTCAAATCGACACGAGAAACGACGACGCGGGGCGGCACTGTTGCGCACAGAGTGGAAAAACACACAGCAATGCCACGACAACGCGACAGCAGGACAGCGGGGTTCGCAGGGCGCAACTCGGAACGATCGTCTTTTTGCGGGCGGGGTGCGCGGCCATGACTCATCGCGGGGGCCCGCTTGTAAAAGCTCAGGTACTAGGCAGCTCCCGCCGGCTCTCGCTGCCCTTGAAGCTAGGGAGCCTTCCAAGCCCCGGCTGCTGCCGTATGCCCCCCAAATCGGCAGCTTTGCTGGACCCCTTGTTGCCACACGCCCGCCTCGGGGCGGCAATTGGCGGCAGGGATGCGCAAGCCGCTGCCCCTTCGGCGCTCGATGCCCCGCCCGGCAGCCCCCGGCAGCGGCTGCCGCCGCTGCCACCGCAATCTATGGCACCCACCCCAGACTGTGGGGCCGCCCATGCCGGCTGCGGGCCCCGAGCCTTCCCGTGCGACAGCGGCCGTCCGGCCGCCTGGCCCCCCGGCCGCGGCGCGCCCGGCGGCCTCCCGCCGGCCCCGGCGCGGGCTGCCCGCTGCTGCTGGTCTTGCTGCTGCTGGCGAGCCGATACCTGGTGCTGCAGGCGGCGCAGCCGCGCGTGGGGGTCACGCAGGCGCTCGTCCGCCAGGTGCTTGTGCTGCGCGCGCAGCACGCGCTGCTGGCGTCTGGACGGCGGCCGGCGAGGGGTGCGTGCAAACAGCGGAGGAGATGGGTGGAAGGTTTGATTGAACGGTGTTCTCCAAGGCCGCGTCGACAGCAGGGGCGGTCCAAGGTGCGCAGCGCCCACTTTAGAGCAATTGTGTCACAGCGGGCGCCGGCGCTCAAGCGAACGGACGCCCTGGCCTGCCATCCAGGATTTTTTTCAGAAAAAACTCACTTGTGGTATGCCAGGGCAGTCGCCATGTCGTTGAACCCCCACTCCGCCATCAGACCCCGCAGCCGCGCGTCGAGCCGCGCCGCGCGCAGCTCCGCGGGTGAGCCGCCGCCCTGTTCGCCGCCGCTGTCGTCGGCGCCGCTGCCGCTGCCGCTGCTGCACTCGCTGCCGTCGCACGAGCTGCCTCCGCCGCCATGGTCGTCCGCGCCGCCCTCTGCCGTGCGCCCGCCACTCCCGCTCACGCTCCAGCACTGGGGGTCGTCGGCGGCCCTCGCCCCCGGCAGCCAGCCCGCTGCCGCTTGCGACCCCATCAGCTCCGCCTCGAGGCCAGGCGCTAGCTGCAGGAAATCGTCCCCCACTCCCTCAAGGCTGCCCAAGCTCTCCTCTGCGTCTATGCTGCCCCTGCCAGCGGCGTGGCCTGTGCTGCAGCCTGTGCGGCCTTCCGATCGAGCAGCGGCAAGCGCAATGTGCAGCCTGCGTCGCACTAGCCAACCGCGCGCCGCGGCCTGGAGCACGACAGCTGCGGCGCCGCGGCGTGCGCGCTCCTCCGCCGCCTCGGCGCGCAGCCGTGGCAGCCGCCCTTCACGCCGCACGGCCCGGCCCCGCCAGGCCGCCTGCAGCGCCGCCGCCGCCGCCGCGGCTCGCGCGCGCAGCGCCTCTGCCAGGCGCCCGCGCTGCTCCAGGCGGCGCCAGGCCGTCTGAAGGGTGACCGCCGCCGACTCACGTGCCTTGGCAGCTTCTAAGTGCACCAGGCGCCTGCTATAACCCGTGTGCACCTCTAAAACTTCCTGCTGCCCCTGTGGTGCGGCCAGGAGCTCGTCCAAGTGCCGCAGCGTTATGGACAGCACTCGCCGCTCATGGGCCTCCTGGGCCTCCAGCCATGCAGGCGCATGCACGACCGGCCTGCTGCCGCCGCCACCGCCGCCGCTGGCGCCGCTGCTTGCGCCGCTTCCGCTGCTGCTGCCCAGACTGCCGCGTCCGCCCCGGCAGCTGCTGCCGCCATCGACGCGCCTGCAGTTGGCGCCCGGCTGTCGAGGGGTGGCGCTCAACTCACCGACAGCCTCTGCCAGTTCTGCACAGCCGACATCCTCCAACCGCAGGCCCGTCTCCGCCTCCCACTCCGCCACCCACGCTGGGGCAGGCCAACCCAGTGAGTTTGCGCCGACCTCAGCCCCCGCGAGCCCGGGCTCCTCCACCCTTGCCCGCCCCTGCCCGCCGCCGCCCGCCGCGGACGCCGAGCGCAGCAGCTGCCGCGGCTTGAGGGCGGCGAGCGCGGCCCATTCCAGCGACTGCTTGTGCGCCAGGCTGATAGTGGAGCTGTGTGACCACTGCGCGTGCTGCCAGTCGCCGGGTTTTTGCTGCTCCGATGACAGATGACGACACCCAGAAGCGCTGCCTGCAGCCATGAGAGCCGGCAGCCAGTGCTGCGCCGCGGCGCGCCGCTGCGCCGAGCTGGCGCCCATTGCAGCATCTGGAAAGGACCGCAGGTGCAGCATGAGCTGCAGCGCGACCCCCGCCTCCCGCGCCGCCGCGTTTGCTGCCCGCCCCGCCGCGGCCTCTCGCGCCCGCGCCTGCTGGCGTGCCGCGCCCGCGGGCGGCTCCTGCCCCTCCCACTGCCGCTCGCCCAGTCGCCGCCTGTCATGCTCTCGCAGCCACGGCAGGGCCGCCGCGACCGCGGCGTTGTACCCTGCCAGCGCCGCCGCTGGATTGTCGTGCAGCTGCAGGGACTCGAGCGCGGGCAGCGCCGTCAGGCGCGCCACGCAGCCGAGGTCGGGCAGCGCATTAAAAGACAGGTCGAGGCGGCGCAGGAGGGGCAGCGCGGCCGCCGCGAGCGGCGCGATGACTGCAATCTGGTTGTCAGAAAGCTCGAGTGTCTCCAGGTGCGGCAGAGGCGGCAGCGAGGGCAGCGCCGCCAGGCGGTTTCCGGAGAGATCGAGGCGCCGCAGGAGCGGCCAGCGCGCGAGGGCGGCGGGGGGCAGCGTTGGGAGCATGTTGTGCGGCGCCAGCAGGACCTGCAGCAGGTGGCAGCTCTCCAGGCCCTGCGAACGGTGCGCAGGTGAGGGCGGGGCGTTGAAAATCATCACCGTGCACACAAACAGCGCAAAGGAGGGGCATTGGTCAGGAGTGCAGATGTGTTTGTGAGCCCGTTGTCGCCACCCGCCGACGCAACATGAACACAAGGCCAAAGCCCCAGCCGCCCTGTCCCAACCCCATGGCACCCACCTCGAGGCCGGTGAGGCGGTTGCGCGTTGCATCCACAACCCGCAGCCGGCCGCAGCCCCGCAGCCCGCCCAGTGAGGTCAGCCTGTTGCCGCCCAGCCGGAGCTCCTCGAGGGTCGCGCCGCACCACGCTGCCAGCGCACCACAGCTGCTGCTGCTGCTGCTGCTGCTGCTGCTGCTGCTGCTGCTGCTGCTGCTGCCGCTGCTGTCACCCGCTGTGGCCCCTACTGCGGTTCCGCCGCCGCAGCGGCCGGCGGCCTGAAAGGATTCTATCTGGTTTTGGGCCAGCGACAGCGTGTGCAGCGCCGCCGGTGCCGGCGCCTGCAGGCCCTGCTCCCCCTTGCCATCGGGCATGGGCCGCGTGGCAGCCGCGGGCGGCATGATATACTGCAGGCGGTTGCCGTCGAGGCACAGCTTGCGCAGTCTTGAAAGACCCCAGACGGGGGGCAGCTCCTGCAACCTGTTGTTCTGCCCAGATGAAAAGATGCGGGTCATGGACACTGCACTGTGAGAGCAGGGGGCAAGCAGCAAAACGTGCGCGGCAGGCGGGCAAACCAAGTCACACAGCGTGCACCGCGCGGGAGGGCCGTGGCTGGTGCACGCGCTTTGTGGCGCGCTCACGCCGGCGCCGTGCCTCACCCGGGCATGCAGCTCCCGCAGGCTCAGCAACGCCGACGCGTCGTGCAGCCGCGCAAGCTGGTTGCCATCCACCCTGAGCACCTGCAATGCAACGCATTTGAGACGGAAGGCTAAGTCAGTCAGGCGCCTGCGTCAACAGCGACCGGTCGCCTTGAAGGCAACCCCGGACGGACGCGGGTTGCGGTGCGGAAAATTCCGCCTGCCATCGGCGTAGCCGTTTGCCGACGTCGGCGGCGTCACGGCCCGGTCGCGTCCAGACTTCGGGACCTCGTACCAAGACCATTGTTGCGCAGGCGCACGCAGCGCACTGCTCGACCCAGCTTCAACACAAAGCGAGGGTGCGCGCTCTACGCCTTGCCCAGCCGCCCACCTGCAGCTCAGGGCAGTGCCGCGCCAGCCCCTCGATGCACTCCAGCTGCTCCAGGCTCAAATCCAGCTCAGCCGCGCCTGCAGGGTCCGCGCCGGCCCCCAAGTTGGCACGGACCTTGTCTGCCAGCGCGGCGCCCGCCGCGCCGGCGGGAGCGGCGCATGAGTCTGTACGGGCGGCTGCTGCGGCAGCGTCCCCCGGTGGGGTAGCACAGGTGCGGGGAGACACCTGGGCGGCTCTGTTGGCGGCAGCTGCGCGACGCAGCCCGGCCTGCTGCGCACGCCACTGGAGGGCAGCGCCGCGCGTCTCTGACGCCACAACCCGGAGCCTCGCCAGCGACAACATCGCGTCCGTTGCTGTGTCCATCCCCTCCTCTTCCCGGGCCTGCTGACTGTGCATGCTCCACTGCTGATCCTGCCTGTGCAAGTCGCCGCCCCCGTCCTCCCAAGCAGCTACCGCCTCCTCCGACCCATCCCCCTCCCACGCCGGCGGGCTGGGAGCTGCTCTCGCGTCGGTGGAAACCCACCCCGCCGCAACTACGCTGCCGCAGTCTGCCTCAACCTGTGAGCACCGTGCTGCTACCGCCCTCAGGGCGTGGCGCAGGCAAGCAACCGCTCCCAGGGAGCGGCATGCCGCCGCGCTCTCGGCCAGTTGCTGCAGGTGTGAGCTGACCTCCTGTGGTAGCTTGGAGGAGGCAGCTGAAGCACCGGCTGCAGGTGTGCTGCCAGTCCCCTCGCCTCGGCCGGCGCAGCCACTTCCACATTCCACCGCCTGCAGCCAGGCCTCAACAGCAGCACGGCATGTGGCAGCAGTGGACCCGCCGCACGTGGTGCGTCGCAGCATGCGACAGCAGCTCCGCGCTGCTGCTGCGACCTGCTCTGCTGCTGCGCGGCGCCTCCCCTGGAAAACAGCCGCGTGCCGCTCCACCTCTGCGCCGCAGCATCCCAGCAACGCCGCCTGTCGCTGCGTCTCGACCAGCTGTGTCATCCCGCCGGATCCCGCGGCGGCCGCAAGCTGTGACATTGCTCGGCTTCTGCGGTCCTGCAGTGGCTGCATGGCAGCTTCCAGGTCAGAGCCCGCTGCCCCCATTTGCTCCGCCTGCTGCAGCGCCGCTGTTGCGTCGGCGTCCGAGCCAGTCGAGGCGGCGGCCTGCAGGCGCTGCAGCGCCTCCGCAAGCGCCGCCCTCCAGGACGCCTCTGCCTGTGCGGCTTCCAAGTCAAGCCCCAGGCCTCGGCACTCTGCAATCTCAGCTGCAGGAGAGCCGCGAACGCGCCGCACCTCCCGCTGTGCCGCATGCTGCGCCACCTGCTGCTGGTGCTGCTCAAGCTGCACCAACGTCACCCATGGCCAAGGCTCGTCCAAAGCGCACGCCTGCCACAGCTTGGTGACTGCCGCCCGCTTCCTTTGCTCGAGCACAGCGCGCGCTGCCGCAGCATCAACGCCAAGGCCCAACCGCTCGCACCACGTCACCGCCGCATTAAACCCGTTTGCGTCGAACGGGCTTGCCGCAGCAGCCGCTGCAGCGGATGCTGCGGCCTCGGCGTCCCTGGCACGTGCGCGATCGATCGCAGCTGCCACGTCCGCTGGGCTCGCGCCCAAGTTTGTTGCTGCTTCCGCGGCTGCAGCTACAGCACGCGCCGGAGCCGACGCGGCAGCCTCCGCAAAAGCACTCCAAGCGGCGTGCTGGCGCACCTGGAAACGCTCCTCGCACTCACGCGAGAGTGCCGCAAGTTGCCCGAACCGTGCCGCATGCGCCTGCGCAGCGGCGTGCGCCGGGTGGCCGCCACCCTTGGACGCCTCGCGAAGCTGCCGCGCAGCTGCGTCGCACGACAGCTGGAAAGCCGCGGCCATGGCGTGCGCTTCAACTGCAACCCCCGCTGACTCAGCCTGCAGGAGGGCGCTGCCCGCGCAGTCAGGGCCGCCCGCCTCAAGGGCTGCCTTAAGGCCCGATAGCGCGTCGCGCGCCCGCCGCAGCGCCGCGCACCGGCGGCGCGCCGCCGCGCCGCGCGCGCCCGCTTGTAGCGTGATGACCGCCTGGAGCCTTGCGCCGCGCTGGGGCCCGCCGCGGTAGCGCCGCCAAGCGCGCGCGATGCGCCAGGCCGCCACGCACCGCCGCCCGTGCTCTGCCGCCCGCTCCTCAATTACTTGCAATGCCGCTCGGCGCTCCGCCGCCCGCCGCGCCGTTGCCGCGGCGTGCTGCGCCATCTGCGCAGCGAGCTCTGACGGCAAGCACGCTTGAATGCCAGTACATGACTGCCGCAGCTGGGGGCCTGCGTCTTGCTGCTGCTGCTGCTGCTGCTGCTGCTGCTGCTTTGACTCAGTCTCGGAATCATGCTTAACCTGCATATGCATGCACCGCTGTTGCTGCAAAGACACCTCCTGCAACTGCCCAGGCGCCTGCGCAGGTTCGCCGGGGCTGGCGCCGCTTGCCTCCGGCGAATCCGCGCGCACCCCTCCGTCGCACACGCCGATCGACGCGCCTGCAGCTGGAGGAGTGGTGGACTCTGATTGCACAGGTGGCATTGGTATCTGTGTCTCATACCCTTCCCGTGATGTGCTGATGTCATTTGAGATCCATGATGGGCCCGCCATGGCCAAGGGAAGTGCTGAAACATGGCCATCGCCGCCATCCACGCCATAAGCCGCCGGCTCCGCTGCGCCAAGGCAGCTGGAGTTTGCTGCTTCGGCGCTGACGCCACTGCCATCGCTGTTTCTGCAGCTATCGCTGCCATCGTCGTTTTCATCCGCGTTGCTTGAAACGTCTGCGCCCCCAAACGTCGCAATCGCGGCGCTCAACGCCTCGCGCGTCACGGCGGGCATGAGCGGGTGGAAGCTGCCCGTTCCCTGCTCCGCCTCCCCTGGACCTTGCCCAAACCCCGCTTCCTCCTCCAAGGCGGCTGCCTGCCCATCTTGCTGCCCTACCTCATGGCAGCCCCGCGTGCCGCTGCTGCGGCCGAGCCCGCGGCCACTGCCGCCGCCATGCGCCTCCCCGCGCGCCTGCTGCAGCTGCAGCTGGGCGTCCCCGAGAGTGGACGACACCTGGGCGAGCAGCTGGTCGCGGCGGGCCACGGCGTCTCTTAGTGCTGTGAAGACGTCGGGCTCGGGGCCTTCGTCGCCTGGCAAGTCGCGGGGCGTAGCGGCTGCATGTGGGAGCGTGCCAGTGTGCATGGGAGGGAGGGATGCTGCTTGCTTCATTAACAGCTTGCCGTCCGCATGTGGCCGCGAATGGATCCTTGTAAACAACAAAGACGTCACAGCTTGCCAAACATTGAGAAGCGCTGCAGGCGCGTGCCCCTCCAATCATTGCTCACCCGGGTCGTCAGCAGCCACGCCACCGCATAGCCCAAGCCCCACCGACCACAAGCTCCTGCTGCTGCGGCAGCTGGCGGGCTGGTCGGTCAGTGCCGCAAGCTCGTGGGCCAGCGCCTGTTCCACATCAAAGCTGGCCTCTGGGCTGGTCAGCCGCAGCTCGGCATGGAGCGCCATGTGCTGGAGGCTGTGGGCAGGACGGTCAACTGCATGCGCCGGTCGCAACGGGGCTGTCGAAGCTGACTGGCACTTGGCTATTCACAATTGCTCCTGCTAATCATGTATCCTCTGGGCCATATAGGTGCACAACATCGAGCAGCATGCGGGTTGCGCGTTGATGGCGCTGCGCTGCGCTGCGCACCGCCGCAAGCATGCCAGACATCAGCGGTCTACACCATCACAATTTTGAACGTTGACTGCCAGCGATCGTGAGTGCGGGAGCTCTACACACAGCCTCGTCATGTTCAAACGCGTCCGCTCAGTGTTGTCGTCACTGAAAATCAAACTGGCGCAGCGAGTTGATCGCCTGTCACAATCATAACTATGAGAGTTTGTTGAATCAATTACATTCAGCATCATGGTGTGGGTGGAGGGCCCTGCTGGCGGAGTTCTGCCCCAGCATCATCACACGTTTTCTGAGCCGAGGCCATGGCTGCAATTGTATGGTGTCCTGCTGAAGCCTCGACCGATGTACAATGTTGAGGTGCGCACCGGGCTCTCCGACCCGATCATCAGCACATGCACCCCGCGGGGCTTGCGCGAGGCTGTGCTTTTGGGAGCGCCGCAGTTATAGTCTGATATATTTGGCAGCGCTTGCCTGTAATGCTGCCTTCCGCGTCGGCCGCCTCGGGCAGCGCGCGGCCAGCGGCGCTGCTGCGACAGCAGCGAGTGGCGCACGTGCTGCAGTCCAATCAAGCCCGCATGGGCTGCTGCCATTTGGCCTGAGCAGCGGCCTGGCTTCCGTTTGTGATTCTCGTGCAACTCCCAGGATGAGGAGTCCCTGGCGCTCATCCAGCGCGCGTTCACTGATGAAATGATGACGACGATCTTCAGCCGCATCGGGCCGTATGCCCTCGGTCGCGCCGCGTGCGTGTGCCGGCAGTGGCGATTCCTCGCCAGGGTGAGTCACAGCACGTGGTTGGATGCTGCCGCCAGCAGCCGGCTCCGTGATCTGCAGTATTTTGACGATGAGCATCAATATACGTGGGGGCGTGCGGCAGCGGCGACGCATCTGTGTTGATGCCGCCCGCATTTCGTCAACGTTGCGCAGAACCCCAACCTCTGGGAGGCAGCGGCTAGGGAGGCGCTGTCTCCACCAGCGCACAAGGACATTGCGCCTGCGCAGCTGCACAGGACGTTGGCGCAGAAGTATGGGTGGGTTCAGTTGCGCAGGATGCCGGCTGTACTGCGAGCTTCCAGCACGCATTCATTGGGAGGCGCAAGTTATGGCCGTCATGGCAAGTCTGCATGTCTAGTATAGGCCTGCATTTTAGGCTGTGATGGGCAGCTGGCAAAGCTTGCAGCCGGGACGGCGGCATACAGCGTCACCCTTGCACCCATCTCAGGCGCAAGCAACACGAAGGCCGGGTCTGCCATGCGCACATCCACACACGCACAACCCTCTGATTCTTGCAGCTGCTCCTGGCGTAGAATGTTCCTGGAGGTCCCGCACGTTCGCTTCGACGGAGGTGCGCCAAGAGACTTTGTTACGGCTCGGGTGGCCCCGCTGCTGCTGTCTCATGCAGAGGGGCCACCTGCGCACGTGCCCACGTGCACACCCAATGCTGCGCGGCCGCGTGAGTGCCATGAGCACTGGCTTGGTCCCTTGGTATGTGTCTCACCCACGTCATGGGGTGTCCTGCGCCTCATCCGCAGTGTACGTGGCGCGCAACACCTACATCCGCGTGGGCGCTGTCGAGCTGCACCGCTCCAACACTGTCTTCCTGGCATGCTACTACCGCTACTACCGCTTCTTTCCCAACGGACAGGTGCGCGCCGAGTGCGGCGGGGCCAGGGAGGATAATGGTCAAGGGGGGCTGTGTGGTTGGTCGAGGGTGCGGGGCCCGCCAAGCACGGCAGGCAGGTCCCTCGGTGCTGTGTCAGGCGAGGCGTCCAGGCTCATCCTCTTGCCACTGCACATCCTCTGTCAAGCGCACCAAGCCCAAGCAGACCCGCGTGCTCGATGCCGGCCCCGCCTCAGCCCCCTCCCATCCCCCCACCTTCCCAACCCCCAACCACGTCCCTGCATCTCCACGTCCCCGCAGATGCTGTACCGCACCAGCCCGCACGTCCTGAAGCTGGTCGCCCGCTCCCTGGCCCGCACGCCCGCGGCGCTCCAGGCCGCCGCCAAGGCCCCCGGGGCCTACGGCCGCGGCGGCGCCGCCGACGACGCGCAGCACGTCTACATCGGCCGCTACTGCATCCAAGGCGGGCAGCTGCGCACCGTCATCTCGTACCCCAACTCGCGGGGCACGGAGGTGCGGGCCAAGCTGGGGGTGCGATCCACAGTGGCCGGCGCGTGGGACCGGCTGGATGTTGAGAGCCTGTGCACCTACGACTGGGAGACAGGCTCGTCTTCGCCATTCCCCACCGACCCGCGCGCCGAGGACGAGTACGGGGACGGCGCGCAGCGGCAGGAGCACCGGCGCGGGCTGGCGCCGTTTGTGTTTGTGCCGTGGGAGCAGGTGCTGACGACGCCGCTCAACCTGCCGGCCTCCAAGATGGATGTTTTCCTGCCAGGGTGATACCTGTAGGCGATCGCTGGGTGTGTTTGGAGTGGGTGGCCGGGTTTCGGCTTGTAGAGAGAGCGGGGGATACATCTTGATCATGAGCTGGGATTTGCGGGACCGTCGCGGCCCCACAAGGGCACCCAGCGCTGTTCCAACCGCATGTACAATCGAACCTTCCCACACGGCCTCGTTGCCATGACTGTGGATGAGTGTGAGTCTTGTTGTGGGTTTTACCTGTACCGTAATGACTGGCCTTGCTGTCGCCATTGGTGGTTGCTGCTTGGTCGTATGTACCTTTATTACGATTATTGTTGGGCAACCGCCCAAGGCACAAGCAAGACCTGCAGGCCATCACAAGATGTTTGCTTCAGGCGTGCGGGTGGTAGCTGCCTGCCTGGTTGTTGCCATCTCTGCCCTTCTGGCAACATGCCTGAGCCCGGGCAGCCCTGATTGAGGGCAGCCACACTGAAGCCGGCTGAGTGTAATCTGATGACCGTGAGCTCAATTAAACAAATTATGAACCTAGAAACGCAACATGATCCTCGTGCGCAGACGTCACCTTCCGTCTCCACACCAAATCCCAGCAGCCCGGCCTGGCTTCATGGCTGCCACGGTGGTTTCAGCTCATGCTGGTCAGCTTCCCAATCAGCAGCACCGTGCGTATGGCAGCATCAGCTTTTCTCTCACGAGTATATCAAGCGGGTTGACCTGATTCTTTCCGCAAATGTCACCACTGTACATTCAACGAAGGAAACCGTTCTGAAGCCAAGTCTGATTGTCAAGGTCGTGTGCAACCTCCGCCGGGTCAGGCCCTCGTCCTCGAGACAAAACGCAGAATATACAAGGTGGGATGCAACTCCTGAACAGATTTGCCCCTGCAACGCGTGGTCATACTGGTCTTGGCCCGCGGGTGGTTTGGCTGTTCTCAGCACGTTCGGCGGCTTGAGCTCCCGAAAACTCCTTGAAGCAATTATGAAGTTGACATACATATATTGAAAGTCACCCTCTGGTCACACACCATCATACAGGTCGTGAGAGCGACATGGCGCGCCGCAGCAGCTTGCTGCTGGTAGCCCTGCTGGCGGTGTCAGTCCTGGCCGCGCAGATGGCGCTTGCAGGTGAGAATGCATGCATTGTACGCAGGCAAGACGCGTATATATCTATGCTGACAAAGGCGTGGCGGTGACGTAGCAGCGTATGCGCCATACTCCATCATCAGCCCTGGCGGCGCGGTTGCCGGCAGGGCCATGGGCAGCAAGCAAATTGCCCCGGGGGCTTACCCCTTGGGGCGCACCAACAGGCACGCGCGCACAGCAGCCGCCGCCGCCGTTGGTGCGTCAACGCGTGACAAGCCCCCTGCCGCTGCCTCGCGCACCCTTTTGTCAGACGAGGCCCCCGAGGTGCTGGACCAGGGCACACAGGAGGTGGGCGAGCAGGAGAGCGGCACGGCCTACGTCGGGGCCTCCGAGGCGGAGCAGTCCGAGGCGTACGGCCACAGGGCGGCAGCTGAGGTCGGGGAGCGCTCCAACCCAGACCCTTACTCGAACGTCGTGGTCGGCGACCAGCACGTGGCTTCCCAGGTGGGCCCCGACAACCGCCGCCCCTCGCGCCGCCTGTACCGCAGCGTCCTGCAGCCGGCCGCACCCTGCTCATCCCCTCTTGGATTGCCCCTCGCTGATG